CCTATTGGTCCAGATAACAGGATATGTCTCGACAATACGTTTTTGCGGCAGCATTAACATCTAACCTATCGTTCAAGAACAACTCCTTTTAGTCGAATGCCTATCCTTATCTCTAAAGTGGATTAGGCCTAGTCACTCTCTAGAACCCGTTGTTAATATAGTTCTTCCCTAGTTTCTCTCGAATACTAAGGATAATTTTCCAAGGCATTCTCTGGAACCCTATGAACCTCCTAAAGAATGGCTACTCTCATGGCTCCTACAACCTTAAGGCTTTAAGTTTCATAAACAAGACAGTATAAAGCATAGAACAACAACCATTCATTAAAATAATAACTTAAACATCCATGCGAACTCTCACCAAATAGGATTAGTTCATGGTGGGGCTCGAAATAAACAAGCACAAAGCAAGTATCATTCGTTCCTTATAACCCAATAACAAAATATGAAAGCAAGAACTAAGGGAGGAGAAAAAGCCTTCAACGTGCACTGCCAAATGCCTTCCTCGACCACCAAGAACTGCTCCTAGCGAACTAGCTCCTCTCGGATGCTTAGAATGCCACTCACTCTGACTTGTCAAGGAGAAATGCCACGACAAGTAGGATTGACTGAGAAAAGTGAAAACTTCTTACTCTAACTTTTTAAGCTCAAATCCGGGTGGAACCAAAATCTTCTTCAATGTGGCTTCATCCTCTATTTATAGGGGAAAACAAATCCTAGGATTTGATGTTAACTATCCTAGGAATCCCTAAAACCATAATTGAGTTGCTTGGGAGTCGAGCAGGACAGGCTATGATGCAGCCTGGGTAGCTGGCTGAGTGACCGACATAATCTCGTCGCAGACGCCCAAGGACATACAAGATCTGCAGGGTCAGACGGCATCATCAGCAGAACCGACGGTTGCAACACTGATCCCTCCACGCATATCTTTGAGGTGGATTTCTCGGGCAGAGGGCACTAAGAGTCGGGGACAGCTGGTTGGAAAATATCTTCTTTCAGCTTGTGCGCTCTCGAAATGACAGTCAAACTTGGCATTTTTATTTAACTCAGCAATCTCCTTATGTCACGTCATTTTCTTTCTTCTTTTCCTTTCTTTCAATACCTGAACACCATCAGACAAGTACCTTTCCCATAAAGCAGCACAGCTGTAAAAATAAAATGCCACGGCAAACCAAAATCCACCACAGGAAACTAAATTCTTCTAAATGCATCTACATTGTCCTAAATGAACCTTCAGACATACAAAAACTTAAGTAAAAAGGTCCCAAAATATGACCTTTTATAGAGTTATCAAGGACCATTTAGAACTTGGGTTCATCAAACATGTATTCAACGACCTTTACTTCATAACTATTTAAAATTTGGGTGTAATAGTGATTCCATTACTTAGTCCATCACGGGAATTTTAGATATTTTGATTCCTGAAGAATTCTTAGTAATTTAACCCAACAAGAGTAAAATGATGATTCATGTTACACATGATTTATATCAAATTATCAGGATTTTGAGTCAAATCGAACTAATAAATTCCCAATAGCGTAATACTTGTCAATCATTCGGATAAAAATCCTTCACGAATATTCACTTCTTAATATTGATCGCACTAGTTAAATTGTTCACCTTTAGTTACATAATTGATCGGTAATTTAAACTCTAGTTGAATGCCCTCGAACTTTAATTCAACATCCAAAGATATCTCAAATACATGGGTTCATAATTTTGAGCCACACACAAACACTTTAGCACAAAACCTAAACTTTTCTCTCCACATAGTTAGAATTAGGGTTTCCCAAACCCCCTCCACTAAGGATGACACCACAAGAGTGGCGAACGACGACAAAAATGGCCACGACAACTCATACGATCACAGTAGGGTCATCTCATGTCACCTATAATAGATTCACAGAGGAGATGACGATGGAGGAAGGATTTCGAACGGCTTCACTCTACTCTCTCTCTCTAATGACGACCGTCGAAGGCGAATCAAAGGAGTTGCTTCACTCGCGATGACTCGACGAGCCCGACAGTGGGGTTGGTGATGTGCATGGATAGATGACGACGACAAAAATGATTTCCATCGATCAAAAAATCGAATGAGAAGAGTTTGGGGTCGTCGATGAACCTATGCGGTATTCTCTCCAGCGAACGATGTGATGATACGACAAATGGGGATCAAGTTTTGGTTTGGACGAGGTGGCGCTCTCATTAGAACAGGTAGTGATGATCACGTCTACCGGATATGGTCGATCAGCGATGAGGAGCGATAATGGAAAGTTTTAACATTTATAGCTTTAGTGGCTAGGTTTTCATCGAATAAGAAATTGATATGCGGTTTTAAAAATATTACATGTGTCAATTAAATAAAACATATTTAAGATATTATTACCAATAGTGCCCTAGCCTAGATGGTAGAGGTATAGACACCTATTCTTCACTTTTCAAGGGTTCAATTTATCGAACCACAAATAAGAAAGTTATACCATAAGACAGTTTTAATATAAGATTAAGGAAAAGTGCTACCTGTTTTGTTATTATTATTTTTAATAAAATTGATAAAAAATTACTTAAAACATTATTATTTTTAATGATTTTGTTATTATTAGGTGTTTTACCGAGCTTAGTAATATATCTGGTAAAACGCTACCTAAAACATTTTTTTTCTACCAGATATATTACCAACCCCGGTAAATCGTCCAATAATAACAAAACCGGTAGAAATAATAATGTTTTTGGTAATTTTTACAGGTTTTATTAAAAAATAATAACAAAATTGATAGAATCTTTCCTTAGACGTATATTAGGTTGCCGCACGTGAGATTTCCCTCCACAATTTTATCATTTTCTCAATCAAATTAAAAAACCTTCCAAATACCAACAACCAGTTGGTATAATGGGATGAGGCACTAGGTCCCTTAAGTCAGGGGTTTGAATCTTGGCGTTTGCGAATGGAGCAAACTAGGTTAGGAGGGTCGTCCTCGCCTCTGCAGTACCCGATCTGGATTAGTCGGTCAATAGATCGGATATCAATGATTAATTTAAAAAAAAATCCAAATAAATTGGGTAGATTACATCTAAAGTCATTGAACAATACAAAGTTTCACCTTTATCTTATGACTCCAACATTTTTTTAATTTAGTCTTTACGTTCCATAAATTCTCTTTAAATTAAAATTTCTTGCAATTTAGTCCCTCTTTTTCTAGCCTCAAAACGTGGTGTTACAAAAAATACTATTAAGATTAAGAGTATAAAATGAGAAGATGTTTATAAGAAAAAATAAAGGAATAATCTCAACTATTTATTTTCACTAATCCAACTGTTCTTAAAAAGTTTAAAACTAAACAATAAACTATACCATTTATATATAGGCGGAAGAGAGAGATGTTGTCTGAAATCAAATTCAAAATCTAATATTAACCAATGATAACGGTTTGTGAGTTTACAAACTTGGTTAACAAGAGTACATCATATTTTCTTTTTGACAAAGAAGAGTATATCATATTTAAGCTAACTAATCAACAGCATACTAATCTACATTAATAATTCAAGAATAATTAATTCGCATATATTTAGCATTCCTCTTATCCTTTCATATGGCTATCTCAATAATTCATAATATACAAGGGGAGATTTCTTATATTTTGTTTAGGTCTATTGATATTTTTAGAATCTTTTTAAAAATTCATTTTAGTGCTTAAACTTTATTACCCATATTGACTATTGAACTTTTAATTTTTTTATCAAATTGAATCAATTGTAAAAACAATGATTGGGCTCTAATATTTTTTTTATATTTTCTTTATTTTTTTGTATTTTCTGATTTTTTAATAATTTTTTACAGTTTTTTAATAATTTAAATATATATTTTTATAATTTTTATTTTCAATTTTTTGAATTTTACACACAGAAAAATAATTGGTATCATATTAACCATAAAAAATAAAGTAACATACGCCAGTTTAACAAATTTGCCACTCTTTTCACCAGTTGATTTAATTTAATAAATTTATTAAAAATTTGATGATCAAAAGATTTAAAAAATTAAAAAGATGATTGATGAAATATTTTTTTTTTAATTTGAGTGCTAAAAATATCATCAAGGCATGTTATTTGAAAAATGTGACCAAACCAAATGGTGTTGAATTGATTGTTCAAATACGCCGGCGTCTATTTTATTATTCCTGATCTTACACGCTATCGAGGATACGACTTTGATCCTTTTTTTTAACATGACGACTATGATTCTTAAGATAATTTTAATAAAAAAATAATGTATAATAAAGTATGACAGTCCATTTAATAATAACTCATTTAATACTTAAGTAATTTTATAGGGATAATATTCATTTAATAATTAATTACGTAAATAGTATCCGAAAAAGTATTTAAGAAAATAACATCAATTTTAGGACTAGTGTATCATGTTAGTCGCGCTTTCTAAAAGATCCCTTGACAAAGTATATCTTTGCTTATGTAGCATCAAGTTCATCAGTGTTCAATTACTTCGCTGCAGTGTTTAAACCCGTGATGTTTAAGAACAATAACAATTCTTTTAACAACTGAGGTAAGTTGAATCATGCAAGTTGATCGGTGCTTTTAATATTTACAATAATCAAGGATCAAATAAACGAAAGGGAAAAGAGAACACAAATGTAAAAACTGTTACAAAGAAGAAATGCACAAGCACATATTAGACAACAATGGCAGATGCGTATAAGGCAGATAACCCTTTCTGATTTGGGCAGAATTACAGTCAGTAATTTTGTGTGGAGGCAAAAAAAAGCAGATGATGAACATTCATCAAGAGAGAAAAATATATAGGGGAGCCCGAGTGAGAAAAAAAAAGCCAATTCATCAATGTTTTATGGTTGCTCATATACCGACTCATGGTGTTTGCATTGGACTTACTTTGATGATGATTATTTGTAGGTTAGTAGGTTAAACAGATTTGATTGTCAGATAGTAGATTTAACTCTGATAAGAAAGTAGATTTGATGATGATTCATCTAGAAAGTTGAATGATATATAGGAAGAACATGAAGAGGAGTTTTCTTGCTGCTTGTGAGGCCGTAGAGTTCAGTCATGTCCACGTTCTCCGCAATTTCACCCGAAGGTAATTTCCAATCGAACCAACAGAGAAGGTTCGCTATCACATACTCAACAGACGCAACTCCAAACGGCATCCCGGGACATCCCCTTCTTCCGAAACCGAATGGGATGTAGTGGAAATCTTGACCTTGAAAATCAATGGAGCTATTCTCAAACCTCTCTGGGATGAACTCTTCTGGGTTTTCCCACCATTTGGGATCTCTGTGAATGGCCCAAGCATTGATCATGACCGTGGTATTCGAAGGAATGTCGAAGCCTCTCAGTTTAACACTTGCCGGTGTTTTTCTAAGAACAATAACAACAGGAGGATGTAGTCTCAAAGTTTCTTTGACTACACACTTTAAGTAGTCCATTTTAGCTATGTCCTCCTGGTCAACCTTAGATTTGTTTCCCACCACATTTCTGACCTCCTGTTGGACTTTTTTCATGGCATTTGGATGCCTTAGGAGTTCAGCCATAATCCATTCTGCTGTTGTTGCACTGGTATCAGTTCCTCCTACAAACATGTCCAGTAAGATTGCTTTTATGTTGTCTTGAGTGAGGTCCTCAAACATGCCATCCTTTTGGAGTTGCATAACGATAGAAACGAAGTCCTTTTTACGGCTTTCAACAGCTCTATGCTCCTCAATTACCTGATTAAGGAGTGCATCCAATTCTGCAGATAAAGCTTTTATACTTGGAATATATCCAGTAAGCACATCAATCCATTTCATGTAAGGAAACAAATCGCCAATACAGAAGCCAGTGAAGAGAACCATTAGCCTTCTAATCAACTCCCCAAACTTGCTGCATCCATCTTCTTCTTCACTTCTATGACTAAGAATGCATCGAGAAACTATGTTACTCGAAACCAAAACAAGCATCTTTGATAGATTAATGGACTCTCCTTTACCACAAGTAGAACGGATTTTGTTGATAAGAAGTTCCATTTCTTCGTCTCTTACGAACTGAAACGAGTGCACTCTTTGGTAGCTGAAAAGCTCAACAACACTCATCTTCTTAACCTGTCTCCAGAAATCACCATAGGGTGCAAAACCCATACCCTTGCATTCGTAGAACATAAAATCTACAGCTGTGGTCCTTGGCTTGTTGGAGAAAGAAACGTCATGGTTTTTGACAATTTCTCTAACCATGTCGACTGATGAAACCACTAAAGTTGGATTGTACCCCAAGTTTAGAAGCATGAGAGGACCATAGTTCCTCGAGAGGTCTAGGAGAGAGCGATGTGGAAGTTTGCCAAGCTGATGGATGTTGCCGATGATTGGTAGCTTTGGGGGTGATGGGGGCAAATTCAGATGTTTGCCTTTGGCTAGTTTAAGCCAAATTAAAAGAGAGAAAATGGGAATCAGAGATAGTAACAATGGATTGCTGAAAAGATTAGATACATTCAGCAGCTCCATTTGCAAAATCTGATGATGAAATTCTTCACCAATTTGCCTTCTTTATAGCCTCTATACTCCATATGCTTACATCTCTTACATTTTTATTTCAGCAGCGTGACGCCTTGGCAATAGTATACTCAATTATTAAGTTTGTTTTTTCAACAAAAAATACTGTCATCCGTACTGCACGCGGACTTGTCTCAACTCAATTAGGGATGGCCACGGCGCAAGCGGGCCGTTTTTTTCGGCCCCGACCCCAACTCATAAATATATACCTAAAATCTGACTCCGTTTAGTCCCGATGAATTTTAGTTTTTTTCATGTTCCAGATCCATCCTAATTTTTATACTAAAATCCTGACTTGACTCGATCTAAATATATTATTATTTTAAAATAATTAAAATAATATATTTATAATAATATATTCATAATTATTTATTATTTTTAAATGATTAAATTAATATATCTTGTAATGTAAATAATTAAATAATATATTTTAATAATATAAATATAAAAAATCTTAAAATATTAAATATACTATATATATATATATATTATCACCTTTGACGATTTCTATATTTCTATATTATCACCTTTGACGATTGAAATGTCCCAAAATATGACTAGTATGACTTTTTTTCCGTACTAGGAGTCACTTCTTTACGTAATTCTGACACTAACTCATCGCAGACCAATGTTTAGTCGAAACATATATACAAATGAAATACACTCACCTTTGCCTCATTATCGAATCTTCTCCATGATAATATTCTAATTCCACATCTTTTCCTTCACTTTTGAGTTACTTAGATCACTAAATTTATCGTAGTCTGACAACGTCATATAACATCATAAAATATTCAAGCTTTATGTTAGCATCAAACTAACATAATTTAAACTTAAATATAAAATTCAATAAAAATAAAATCGATACTTAAATCGATATAAAACTAAATTGTACTTCCATCATAATTCAAACTTCTCAAAACATTCCTTAAATTACATGAATATTTAATTTCACTATCAACTCTTCAACTTTTATTAATTTCATAATCCAACCATTGATTATGAATTCTTTTTTTTTTAATTCATATCAACTTTACTATTTAATCCATAATGGCCCTTCACCATTATGATCACTTCGCATTAATCACATAAAATTTGCAGCACCTTAATAAAATATCCAATTCAATCCTTTAACATTTAAAATATTGCAATTTCAACCTAAACTTTCCTAAACTTTTAATTTCAATTACCCAATTTCATAAACTCGTAATTTGATTCAAGCCAGCATGATAATACTATTTTCCCGCATTGAAATTTCTTGTTCAAAATAATACCATCACCTTTATAAAATCACAATCAAGTCCCTAAAGTTTTAGGAACCTTTCGAATACATCCACTAAAATTATCAAACTTGAAATTTAGTTCCCAACAACTTTCCTAACTTATAAATTCCAGCATATTATCCTTATAAATCAATACTAAGTCCCTTAAATTGTACATCTTCACATTAAAGTCCCAAACTTCTCAAAACTTGTACATTAGCCCTTTTTCTAACTCAATCTTCCAAATTGATTCAAATCAACCTCCAAATCACATAGAACACTTCTAATATTCATTCTAGACCATAGGAAAATTTTCAATATTTTTCCCTTAACTTTTTCCCTATGGCCGAATACATCATGTCACAATATGTGGACTTTTTGTTCAATCTCAAGCATGAATTCAACCTCCCACGATCAAACTCATGCATTTCCAATCACTACAACCTCAAATTAAATCAAAATCGATCAATTCTCCATTAACCCTAAAGTGACCAAACCTAATATAAGCTTGTATAAATAATTTAAATCATCATACATACTTTAGAATTATTGTCCAACCTTAAAAACATAAAAATTCTTCATAAACTCTTCAAAATCACCAAACCCTTCATAATCCTAATCGTCAAATCTCATCACACAAACATCTTCACCATACAATATTTATGCCAAATGATAGAGAATTTCATGTAGAATAATTCTCTATTTCACAACCTAATCCAAAAATCATTCAAATAACTTTAAAAATTGAAACAAAGTTTTCTTACCTCGATCAAGAGGGGTTTCGACCAAGAAGAAGATAGGAGCTGAAGATGTTGATTTTTTTTCTCAATTATTCTAGTATCTAAAAGCTATTACACTTGGCTTAAAACTAATTTAATTGAATTTTTAATTTAACTTTTAAGAAATTCCATTTTAGCCATTAATGAATCCTAAAAATTAACATATGCCATTTCCCCAATAAAATATTTCTTAGTAAAAAATATTTCAACTTGGCTTTGACTTTTCATTTTGTCCATGCAATTTTTGAAAATTGCATTTTAATCACTAAAATTCCACTCTTCAACCAAATCTGAAACATTACATTTATCCGAGCTAAATTTATCTAATATAAAATATGTAAATAATATTTCCAACCATTTTCTAATATCTTCCAAATTTCTTGAAATTCTGACTTGATCCGATGATCCTTTTCATATACCGAACTTTATCTCTTTATATATTTTGACACAAATCCCGTACCGAAAATCTAATTCCCACGACAATCATTGTTTTAGGCCAAACTGTTTATTTAAGGGATAAAATATATAACTTTTCAAAATTATATTTTTAGTCTCTAAACTTTTACAGAGTTTATAATTTAGCTCTTAAACTGTCAAAACTTACATTTTAATCACTAGTCAAAATTTGGGGTATTACAATATTCTAATATATCTTCTAATTTATTTATATATTTTATTTAGAATAATATAATTTTATTTAGAATATATTAATATTTAAATTAATATTTAATACTATTAATTTTTATATAATTTATTATATATATATATATATATATATTTTATATTTATATTTCATTTATTTTCATTTATTTCATTTGCATTTCGATTAAAAAAAGGAAGGAATTATAAACTTGAAAAACACGGATCGGGTTGCGCCATACATATGAAAGAATATATAATAATGATATATTGGACAAATCAAATACCATGGTCTAATAAGGAACCTTTCGGATTAGTTTAGTTGATAATTTTTTGAAAGATTTCTTCGAAATGAAGGATACAAACCTATTAGTGTAAAGAAGGTATTTAAAATAACGAAATCTACTAGTGAAGAAGTTAAAAAGGTACAAGGCAAAGCGTGTTACGAAAGACTACACACAAAAACAAGGTGTAGATTATAATAGGGTGTTTGCTCATGTTGCTCATATAGAAACAATTGGATTACTAATTTCTATTGTTGCTCAAAAACAAAAGAAGAATTCAACAACTTGATGTGAAGTCAAATTTTCTCAATGTTTTTTTTCTTTTTTTAAGAAGAAATTTATGTTGAACAACCAGAATGATTTGTAATTGAATGATAAGAAGAAAAAGTCTTAAAGTTGAATAAGGAAGCAAACACCGAGCATGAAATAGCATAATTGACAAGTATTTTCAAGATGGTGAATTTAAAAGGCACAATTATGAGTATGCATTTTATGTTAAAATAATATATATATGATGTTTTACTTGTTTGTTTCTACGTAGATGATCTCATTTTTATAGGTAACAACCCAATAATGATTGAATATTTCAAAAAGAGTGGGTTAAAAGAATTTGAAATGACTAAAATATGGCTTATGTCTTATTACCTAGACCTCAAGGTGATGTAGACTAATACTATAATTTTCGTTTCTCAAGACAATTATTGCAAGAAATTACTTGAGAAGTTTAATATGCCTGTTAAAATATTTGAAAAATATGACCAAACCAAATGGTGTTGAATTGATTGTTAAAATACTCCAGCGTCGGATAGAACCTGGCTATTTGATTGTTCAATAGCAAATATTATTCCTCATCTTACACGCTAACCAAGATACGACTTCGATTCTTAGGATAAAAATAATAAAAATTAATGTATAACAAAGTATGAACGTCAATTTAATAATAATTCATTTAATACTGAGAATAATATTCATTTAATAATTATTTACGTAGATAGTATCCGAAAAAATATTTTAAAAGATAACATCATTTTAGTCGCGTTTTATAAAGGACTCCATTGACAGAGTATGTCTTTGCTTCTGTGGCGTCAAGTTGATAAGAGTTTTTAATATTTACAATGATCAAGGGGCGAAATAAATGAAAGGAAAAAGGGAAAACAAATGTAAAAACTGTTACAAAGAAGAAATGCATAAGTACATATTAGAGAATAATGACACGTGCTTATAAGACAGTTCACCTTTTTTTATATAGGTGAAGAATCGAAGTTGATAATTTTATGTGAAGGTAGAAAAAAAAACAGATGATGAAACATTCATCAAGAGAAAGAAAAAAAAGCCCAATTTGTCTGCTTTTTGTGGTTGCTCATCTATTGGCTCATAGGTCAATAGATTTGACTGTCATATAATATATTTAACTTTGATAAATCGTGTGGGTATGTTAATAATCATGTAAGAGACTTTTAACTATTCGAAAAACGTAGAATCCCAGAAGCTCTGAGGAACTCTAGGATATATGGATATCTGGAGGATATTAAGCATCATAGGAAGTGGAATTTTGAAAATTTCAATGAAATTTGGAAGTCTCATTGTTCAAGAAGAAGAGAAGTGACAACATGATGAAATTTTGAGGAGATTTGGATGAGGTATAACAATTGATTATTATTTTTGTTGGTTTATATAGAATATAGTGAATAACAAGCCTATGATTGAACTTAAACATGATCATTAACAAGACATATTGTTTTATGGTTTATATAGAAATAAGTACTTAAAGTATACTCTATTTTTTATTTAAGTATTTAAAGTATTTTTTTTATCAAAATAAATATTTAAAGTTATCTTTTTAGACAAAATAGATACATAAAGTATTTTATATTATAATAGGTTCTTAAACTATTTAAACTTTTTCATATAAATTCTAAAAAAGTTGACATTGACATTAATTAAAAAATTGATTAGGTAATAGGATAAAAAAATTTGAATACTTTAAG